ATATTCATATTGGTTTACTTTGCCATTCTGAGGTGTGGCTAATTTTCAACCCTCCGCCTCAATTTAATAATATTTTAAATGTACACTTCAGTACTAATGCTGTCTTACCCCATGTCAAATTATTAATAACCAGTAATTATTCTAGATGTCTGCTACATTGATTCTCCCCACTCATTTAACAGTGAATCATAATTTGCATATATTGCATTATAGTGGCTTTATTGCCTTGCTTAAGGTGAAATGATTTTTTATATATATATATATTTCATTAAAAATGACAGACAAGGTACTACAGTTAGGCTTTTTATTTAATTTTTCTTGCGTTGTAACAAGAGCTTTCTTTTCTGGACAAAGGGTGTGTAAGAACTGTCCAAATGTTTTATATTTCTGAGCATTTTCGGCTATACCTTTAGCCAAGGATGATTTGATTTTCAGCTTAATTGAGTGTATGCGTTCTGTGTATGTCTTAGTGTGTGGAAATTAAAAACATCCCTACCACACACTAAGACATACACAGAACGAAATATATGAAAAAATTTAACCTGTAGAAAAGACAATATTTATAAATATAAATGACAATCAGAAAACTGTAGTTATTGCTCTCCCAAATAAACATACACAACAATATTGTAAAATCAAAAGAAAATGATTGACTCCATCAACACAGCTATAATGACAATATTCTCCACACGTGACAATAACTGACATTATTCTCAGTTAACAATATGAAAAAAGCGTTCTCTACATTCCTCCAGTTGCTAAGAACATCATGTTTTTTGTTATTATTAGTTACTTTAATTCATTTTGTTTTTTTTTTGCTTTGAGATAGTCCACATTGGACGAAATGCGTCAACAATAACAATTTTCCTATTGTCATTTTTTATATATATATATATATATTATATTTATATATATATATATATATATATATATATATATATATATAGAGAGAGAGAGAGAGACATGCAAAATGGGGCCTGAAGATGGCATTTAAGTGTGAAACAAGCTGTCACCATTCAATATTGACCTCACTATCCACTTCTATATTTACATATGCTCTATCACTGATATTGAGCACTTTTTACCTATAAATATAGCATACCTTAAATCTATAATTTTATTATACACATGTGTATATATATATATATATATATATATATATATATATTTTTTTTTTTTTTTCCTCTAAGTAATCAATGGGTGTTATTTTTAAGTCAACAGTATCTTTTGTTGTGGAGAGCACATTTCTTTTATTAAGTCTCTCAAATGCACAGGCCAGAAGACAAAATTCACATTTTTTTAAATAAACAGTAAGTTCTATGCTAATAGTTCCTTCTCTTGCACTTCTTGCTTATAGAATTCTCTTTCGGCTTCCTTGTTTCTTGTCAATTACAATCTTAAAAAAAATTAAATGCAATATCAATTGTCATCTTCTGTCTCCTTGAATCCTGTGATCTTATTGTCCTCATTGTTTCTTTTACTTTCAATAACATCTTGCATTCTTTTTTAAATGGTGACATCATCACCATATGCCTTTCTGTTCAAACCACCATGGTCATTTTGGATTTTATACTCACATTTTGGATGTTGTATACTCTAGCCTTTTTTCAAATGTTCGTTGTACATTGAAATTTTGGGGAATTTCGAACTGAGCACTTAATTCAATCCCTGGTGGTAGATTGTTCTTATTTCTCACCACCATAAAGTTGCTTCCCTGTGTCTTTTCTATAAATACTTTCATGGTCATTGTTCTGATGAACTTTTCTCTATTTCATGAAGTTAAGTGCTGTACTAATGAGAAAGGAGGTCTTGGAAAATCTGATACTCATAGGGTGAATATAGTGAAAAAAAGGGACAAGTGAAAGCAATGCGTTACATTTAACAGGTTTAAGCAAGTGGATGGCAGAAAAGGGTCTGGGAGAAATAAAAAAAAAAAAAAAAAATTATGTAGAGTTATGAGGGACAGGAGGAGATGGAGAGCCATGATTGCCTACGTCCTGAAGAAAACTAGAGTGGTTGCAAGGTTTCATCATTTTACAGTTGGAATGGTTAGATATAAGCATAAGTCCTATGATCATAGTCTCCTTTCTCACACTTCTCATTTGTGGAACTCTCTTCTGGCTTCTTGTTTCCCAGCCAACTTTGTTCTTCAAAAATTTAAATGCACTATCAATCATGTCTTAGTGACTTTATTGCTTTGCTTGGAGTGAAATGATTTAAAAAAAAAAAAAAAAAATGAACTTTTCAAGTCTTATGGTCAAGTCTTGCTGAAAATACCAGCTTCAGTTCAATCACCAGAGTTAAACAGCACCAATCTTGATTAATACTTAAATAAGGGACTGCTTAAGAACAACAGGCACTGTAGGCAACCTTTTATAATCCAAAATATATTTTAACTTTAAATAACCTACAAAGGGTTGATAAGGCATAAAAAATAAATCCATCACATTTCATAGGTGATATCTTGTAACAATTACTTCTCTCTGTAGTTTATTCCCCTTTGTGTCAATTGTTCATTTTTACCACTAATTTAAATTAGACAAGATATCCCTAAAATCTAGAAAATAAAATCAGAACTATCTACCCTTGTTGATTGAATAAAGTGTTTGGTTCAAAAATGCAAGCAGGTGACTGCATAAAACAGATACCTGAAAAATGCTGGAGGTTACAATGGCCGAAATGTCAATATAAAATCCAAGATAACTATGCTGGTTCAGATTGAAAGGTATTTGAATAAAGCAGGGGTTCTACAGACAGATGCTGAGAATATGATGGAAAGAAAATATGAGCAACAAGAAAGTTTTAAAGAAAATAATAACAATGTCACTTGTACTTAAAATCAGGAAGTGGTAGTTGAAATTTTTTTTTTTACACATAATGAGGAAAGAGCGTTTGGAAAATTTAGCACTCATGGGCACATTAAAGGTAGCAGGCAAAGAGAGAAATGGCAAATAAACTACTTTGTGTTAATGGATGACAGAGCAAGGTCAAAGAGATTGTAAAGAGATGTTACTTAGAGCTACAAGGAATAGGAAGTTGTGAAGAGGCATGCTCACCAAAGTCTTGTAGGGACATATGCATAACTAAGAATAAATATGAACCTGTAAACATTAAGCAAAAAAACTTTTTTTTTTTCTTGTCTCTCTCTCTCTCTCTCTCTTTTTTTTTCTCTCTTCTTTTTTTTTTTTTTTAGTAAGAGATTAGATATCTGGATCAGTTTAATATTTATATGAATATAAAATGATACATGATACCTTCCTGTTATAAGTCATATATTGTAGTGGTCGATACTCAAGTTGTCACAAATTGAACATTGACGACATCACCCGTTCTTGTCTAGGGGAGGCTATTTATAGTCTCTACTCTTCACCTGTTTAAATTAGATTATCACTATACATCCTTTAAAACGTTTCTATAATTACTTTTGTAATTACTATATTATAATAATTACTCTAATGACAATAGCAATTACTTTATTATAATAATTGTTCTAATGGCAATAGTGATTTCTATATTATAATAATTTCTATAATAGCAATAGTAATTACTATATTGGCTATAGTAATTATTACATTGTAATAATTGCTGTAATAGCAAAAGTAATTACTATATTAATTTTCATTTTTTTCTGTTAATTAAATTTAATTTTTCTTAAATTATCTTAATCAAAATTAATCTTTTCTTAGACTCAAAATTACTTCTATGCTTAAGTTAATTTTTTTTTTATTTTTTATATTATAAAGTGAAAAAAATATTTAATATCTATTAAAAAAAAAGCTGTTTCTCTAACATTTAAACTATAATAGTTTCAAATAACTTCAATTTTAGTTTCTGTCTATTGGATATGACCTTAATGACCTTTTTTATTTATTTATTTATTCATTTTTTTTGTTTGCTTCGTAATTCCATCTTGTTCTCTCTGTTTTCACCTTAACCAGGAATATTTGGCAGTCTCTTGATCAGATTACATTTATAAGTTCCAATCGAGAATTCCGAGAATTCTGCAGACAAGAAGTTAAACCAAAATCTTCTCAAATTATTTTTCAAATAGAAAATTCTCATAAATCTTTACGTATAACATTTCACCTTCATAAAAAAAAAAGTAATAAATACCTGTATATAAGAAATATGTATATGTTGATAATTTCAGACTTATTGCCAATCTGGGCATCTTAGCACGAGGTAATGGTTAACGAGACTATTATGGTTGACTAAGTAGTGAATTTGATCTTCACTGTGTGCCCTATACTTGTGGCTTTGTGTCAAAAGTAATAAGGGGCACTTTGGGGTGAGGTAATGGTTAACGAGATTATCTAGTTGACTGTAACTACTGAGTAAGGAGCTCCATCCTCACTCATTACCCCCACACAAACTTTTACACGATATAATGCAACAAAGGTTGACATGTAAAATCAACTCAAAATAGTGTCTCTACATTGGAAAATGGTTAAAGAGGTTGGACTGGGTGAGGTAATGGTTAACGAGCTAATCTAGTTGACCGTTACTACTGTGTAAGGAGTTCCATCCTCACTGGGTGCCTCTTATACAAAAGTTGGCATTAAATAATCCAAGAAGAGTTAATATTTTCTGTCTGGATTTCTGGGATGAGGAGTTATCACTATTTCCATTTGGACTATTGATCTCATCTTTCTTATCACAATGTTTTAGCTTTCTTTGTTAAGGCACTTAATTCAATGTTCCTCTATAGATCAAGTATAAAGTGAAAAATTTTCAACGAATGATTTTCTGTTAGGCTATGAACTTATTAATTTACTCTTGTACACAAAATGTCTTATTACTTTGGATATATTTCTAATTTGAGTTTGCATTAATTTTGAAAGCCGAAACATTTCAGTTTCAAAATATCTTATGGTACCAACATGTTGTGGGTATCCGTTATTGAAAATGGTAAGAAATCTGACAAATCCCTCTAGGGAAAAATTTTTTCCTGACAACCTGCTTTAGTTGACCATTTTTATCCTGTAAGGGATTTCCCTATCATGTTAGATAGCATTACTCTCTTTCGCTATCTCTTACTCTCTCTACACTTTTCACGCTCCTCTTCTCTCTCTACACTTTTTCTCTCTCTCTCTACTCTCTTTTTCTCTTTCCCATTCTCTTTTTCTCTCTCCCTTCTCTCATTTTCTTCCTCTACTATTTTTTTCTCTCTCCCTATACTCTGTACTTTTCTCTCTCCCTATACTCTGTACTTTTCTCTCTCCCTATACACTGTACTTTTCTCTCTCCCTATACACTGTACTTTTCTCTCTCCCTATACACTGTACTTTTCTCTCTCCCTATACACTGTACTTTTCTCTCTCCCTATACACTGTACTTTTCTCTCTCCCTATACACTGTACTTTTCTCTCTCCCTATACACTGTACTTTTCTCTCTCCCTATACACTGTACTTTTCTCTCTCCCTATACACTGTACTTTTCTCTCACTCTCTGTACTCGCCTTTTCTCTCTTTCTCTATTTACTCTCTATATACTCGCCTTTTCTCTCTCTCTCTCTCTACTCGCCTTTTCTCTCTCTCTCTCTCTCTTTTTCTCTCTCTCTCTCTCTACTCCCTTTTCTCTCTCTCTCTCTCTCGCCTTTTCTCTCTCTCTCTCTACTCGCCTTTCTCTCTCTCTCTCTACTCGCCTTTTCTCTCTCTCTCTCTCTACTCGCCTTTTCTCTCTCTCTCTCTACTCGCCTTTTCTCTCTCTCTCTCTCTACTCGCCTTTTCTCTCTCTCTCTCTACTCGCCTTTTCTCTCTCTCTCTCTCTTTTCTCTCTCTCTCTCTCCTTTTCTCTCTCTCTCTACCCCTTTTCTCTCTCTCTCTACTACCTTTTCTCTCTCTCTCTCTACTCGCCTTTTCTCTCTCTCTCTCTACTCTCTTTTTTCTCTCTCTCTCTCTCTCTTTTCTCTCTCTCTCTCTCTACTCTCCTTTCTCTCTCTCTCTCTGCCTTTTCTCTCTCTCTCTACCACCTTTTCTCTCTCTCTCTCTACGCCTTTTCTCTCTCTCTCTCTACTTTTTCTCTCTCTCTCTACTCGCCTTTTCTCTCTCTCTCTATTTACTCTCTCTCTCTCTCTATTTACTCTCTCTCTCTCTATTTACTCTCTCTCTCTATATATATATGTGCCTTTTCTCTCTCTATATGCTGCTTTTCTCTCTCTCTCCCCCCTGCTCTATTCTCGCCTTTTCTCTCCCTCTCTCTCCCCTGCTCTATTCTCGCCTTTTCTCTCCCTCTCTCTCCCCCTGCTCTATTCTGCCTTTTCTCTCCCTCTCTCTCCCCTGCTCTATTCTCGCCTTTTCTCTCCCTCTCTCCCCCTGCTCTATTCTCGCCTTTTCTCTCCCTCTCTCTCCCCCTGCTCTATTCTCGCCTTTTCTCTCCCTCTCTCTCCCCTGCTCTATTCTCGCCTTTTCTCTCCCTCTCTCTCCCCTGCTCTATTCTCGCCTTTTCTCTCCCTCTCTCCCCCTGCTCTATTCTGCCTTTTCTCTCCCTCTCTCCCCCCTGCTCTATTCTCGCCTTTTCTCTCCCTCTCTCTCCCCCTGCTCTATTCTCTTCCTTTTCTCCCCTCTCTCTCCCCTGCTCTATTCTCGCCTTTTCTCTCCCTCTCTCTCCCCTGCTCTATTCTCGCCTTTCTCTCCCTCTCTCCCCCTGCTCTATTCTCGCCTTTTCTCTCCTCTCTCCCCCCTGCTCTATTCTCGCCTTTTCTCTCCCTCTCTCTCCCCCTGCTCTATTCTCGCCTTTTCTCTCCCTCTCTCTCCCCCTGCTCTATTCTCGCCTTTTCTCTCTCTCTGCTCTCTTTTTTTTTTTTTTTTATCTCTCTCAGGTAATTATTATCTGTACTTTTGAAAACCAGTTCTGTTCTAAAATTTCTTTTAAATAACAACTCTGTAAATATCCTCTTAATTTGGCTCCCTCCATGCTTTTTTTCTTTTGTACCTCTTCATTATTTTATAAGATGAAAAAGATATAAAAAATCATAATACAAATTACCTACTGATAAAAAATGAACATATACAATTAACTACATATTATTAAAAAAAAAAATTAAAAATTAAACTTCTAATCTTATTGTTACCAATAATACATTCCTCACAGAATCCCCAGCTACACCTCCCTCACTTTTTTGTTGTACAGGCACACATGAATGTAGGCAACAAAATCAGTTCTGTGTTAATGTAATGCATTGGTAAGGTAGACACTTGATCTTTTGGGAGAGAAAAAAAATACTGATGTTAGCTGAAGAACAATCACCATACATAGAAAAAGGAGTGGATGTGTTGCAACTGACATCTGCTTATAGCAGCATATCATGCCAACCATTCTTTCTTCTCTTTTTGACACGGCTTTCTCTTCTTTCTGTCAGAATCACTTTGGAAATTTGTGTAAAATTCATGCTTGCTTCTATTAGGATATAAATATAATGGGTATATGTTTATTTCAGGGATTTCTACTCAAACATGTGTACATACTACAAATGCTTATAGCAATAGCACTTACACACACACACACACGCACGCGCGCGCACACACACACACACACACACACACACACGAGCCTGCCAAAAAAAAATGTATACACACTTCAGGAAAGGAAAAACTTGTATAGATATTGTAATACTAAATGTATTTAGACATTGAGATTAATACAAATTACCTTTGGACTCTACAATCACAAGAGATGTTCAAAATTGTGGTCTTTAGCTTCCAGACATTTATTAGTATGACAAATTACTGCTTGGGCAATAGTTGCCAAAGTGTCCAGTGGGATTGCTGCGCACATGTATATTCAATTTCATGGCCACCAAAGTATTTGGTTTTCTGCGCCACACAAAATCTTTTAGGCTCCCCCATAGGTAAAAGTATAAAAACTACAAAAAAACAAAAAAGTTTCCTTTCCTGCAGTAAGTATACATATTTTTGTCAAACTCTGTGTGTGTATATATATATATATATATATATATATATATATACTCATATTCAAGGTACTACAGAAATATTTGCAGATTATGACCAATATATTAAGCATATTCAAAGTACTCGGGCTATTGTGTGTGTACACAGAAAAGTTCCCAGCCTAACCAAATATTAGAACGTATTTTTCTTTTCTTGGAAGGCTTATTCAACACTTGCTTATATGGCAATTTAGGGAGCATAGCTTAGATGTGGCACAAGGTTGAAAGTATAGCACATCCAGTGAGAATGAAACTCAGTACTCGGTCATAATTGATCTAGCAAGAAAAAAAGATTTCCTATGCATAGCTTAGATGTGGCACAATGACGAAAGTATACAGCACCCAGTGAGGATCAAACTCACATCACTCGATTATATAAGTGGACCCTGAAACTTTTGCATTTCAACTGTGAAACCCAAGTTAAAATCTCACCATAGACAGTTTGTGAAGGTAACCTCCTGATAATATTGACTGAGGATGGATGATACCAGCATACACAAGCACTAAAAACCATGTTGCAGTTCCACTGAAGCCCTTTAAATGAAATTAGCTTTCAAACAGTTTTGTTTACCTATCAGTGGTTATGCCTGCATAAAGCCAGAAGCCATATTGGCCACAGTTTTATTGGTGATGCCAGATTATGTGCTCTCTCTCCTAGAAACAGTAACTAAGGTTTGCTCTGTATAATTGCTGGATAATCTATAGACATTAGGTAGCTGCCCACACTAGCAGGTGGGTGTACTGGGTAATTAACTAGTAGCCATTTTATATATATATATATATATATATATATATATATATATATATATAGGTTAGTGCTTAATATCAGGGATAGAGCATATGTAAATATAAAAAGGCCTGAAGATTGTGTTTCAGCATGAAACACTGTCACTGCTGGATATTAGCCTGAATGTTCACTTACACACACACACACACACACACACTACAGTTCAAAAATTTGAATCTACCTCCAGAATTAGCATTAGATGAACTTGACAGAAGAGTGAAAAAAAAAATGAAAGAGCTCTTAGAGTCATTGAAAAAAAGAATGAAATAACTTATCAAATTTATACTTTGAGAAACTTTTGCAACAAATGCCAAAAATTTGTGCTGCAGTAATCAAGGGTAAAGGAGGATATTTTGACAAGAGCAAAATTTAATCATAAAATGCTTTTTTTTGTTTTTGTCAATAATAATTTCTAATAAAAAACAAAACAAAATCATATCTCACTTATTTTTTTTTTTTTAACCATATATAATAATTTTCCCTTATGTAAAGTACAAAACAACTACTTCTTTGGCCCAATTTAAAAAATTACCAGTGGTGGCCTAAAACATTTAACTAACTGTAGAGAGAGAGAGTGTGTGTGTGTGTGTATGTATATATATATATATATATATATATATATATACACACACATGAAAGAGAACTATTCTTTACCAAAAACCTATGAGGGACTTTACTTAAGCCCATCAGGGGATAAAATGTGTTGGTAAAGAATATTTTCCTTTCTCTTTATTCATATTGTCTTTTTACAGATATATTTTTATTTATATCTGAATTTTTACACACACAAACATTATTTTTTTTTTTAATCAGTTCACCCCAAGCAAGGGGATAATGCCACTAAGACGCAAGGGGCTACTGGGACTGAAAGGGAATGAGAAGGCTTTATAAGAAACTGAAAACAGGATAAGCCTTTACTCCTGCTCAAAAGATGTGGGGGATACATGAACCGGATGATAGGTGAACCTATCAGCTTGTATTGAAATAAAAATTGCTTTATATATATATATATATATATATATATATATATATATATATATTAATTGTGCATGCATGCATGTTTAAGAAAAGTTCAAAATGAAATATTCTGTGTATAAATTTTTAATATTAGTTTTGGCTTATTTTTTCTTTTTGTAAATTAATGATTTAATAAGTAATTTTTCTTATTATATTTTAGATAAAGTATTTGCCCTGTTGTTACTTTATTACTAGTCTTACTAAATGTAATGTTTATTTTTATCATGACACTACTATTACTTTTAACCTAAACTTGAATGCTAATATGCTGGTTCAGAATTTTAAGCAGATATGGGGCATGGAAGTTGAAACATCTTGTAAATAACCCATATTTTTTTTCTTTTTGCCTTGTTACACATAGTAGCTGAGTGGCAAAATGGTTTCTGACATGAAAGTGTGTTTAAAGTAGAGGTATATCATTGAATTCTTCTATGCAGAAAAAACTGTACCCATCATCAACACTTTTGGTCATTTATGGAAACCAAACAGTGAATGTGAGCACAGGCAATCTGTTTCAGCAGGGATGACTAATTTGTATGTCAAGATATTTTCTTATTTATTGTTTGAAAAAAAAAAATGGATAGACAGTGGTGGTGACATTTTGGGGAGAAGTAGTTTTTTGTTTCTGAAAATTTGCTCTATCCAATGTTGTTGTTGTTGTGCTTACTGTAGCTGTCATAGTTTTTGTGAAAATAATGCCGAGGCATTACTTTTAAAGCATTTTCTATTACATGAAAATAAAATTTAAAAAAAACAAAACAAAACATACTAAAAAATGTTTTTTCCAATTATGCTTTCCTTCTTTTTCAATTTCAAAAGTTGATTATTAAAAGTGAAAGCTAGTTAATTAATCCATTAAAGTCTACTATAAAATATGTTAAGTATGAAAATAAAAATCTGGTATTAATTAGACTTCTACTAATATCCACCTTCCAATTTTGGTGACGGTAGGTATTAATGAGTTAAGGTACTTTTAACACCAAACCAACTTCAGCACAAAGCTAAGTTTTTGGGGGTTTTCTTTATATATATATATATATATATATATATGTTTCTAGTGAGGAACTGAACACACAATGTTTTCCAAGACTATATATCTCTTGGACTGATATTGACACAGTGATAGGTTGATGAAAATATTTGATAAAGGAAGGTTTTCAAGTCTGGTTCATTCACAGTTATTTTATGTTTCTCTGTGGCATAACATTCATATTATTTGAGTGTATCAAAAGTATTTTCTTATTTTTAATCAATGGAAAACATCTTGAGAGCTATTATTTACATTCAGACTAATGTCATCGTCTTTGTTGTTATTTATGACAATGCTTTAACCATTCTTCTCTCCGGCCTTCTTCAGGTGTCTGTTGATCTGGGTAGCCTTCAGGGAATTTCAAACTGAATCCTTTATTTAATTTACTGGGTAGATTGTTCTAATTCTGCTGTCCTTTTCTTTTGGTACTGCTCAGTTATTGCTCATCCTGTTTCCACTGAGTTGGAATCTGTTCTGCCCAGCTGTAATGTCATGTCATTGAACTCAAAGTTACTGATTAATCCAAATGTAAATAACAGAAATAATGATACCTAATCATTATATGTAATATTATTATTATTAGTAGTAGTAGTAACAGTATGAGTAGTAATATTATTAGTAGTAGTAACAGTATGAGTAGTAATATTAGTTGTAGTAGTAGTAACAGTATGAGTAGTAATATTAGTTGTAGTAGTAGTAGTAACAGTATGAGTAGTAATATTAGTTGTAGTAGTAGTAGTAACAGTATGAGTAGTAATATTAGTTGTAGTAGTAGTAGTAACAATTATAATTAGTAATATTAGTTGTAGTAGTAGTAGTAACAGTATGAGTAGTAATATTAGTTGTAGTAGTAGTAGTAACAGTATGAGTAGTAATATTAGTAGTAGTAGTAGTAACAGTATGAGTAGTAATATTAGTAGTAGTAGTAACAGTATGAGTAGTAATATTAGTAGTAGTAGTAACAGTATGAGTAGTAATATTAGTAGTAGTAGTAACAGTATGAGTAGTAATATTAGTAGTAGTAGTAACAGTATGAGTAGTAATATTAGTAGTAGTAGTAACAGTATGAGTAGTAATATTAGTAGTAGTAGTAGTAACAGTATGAGTAGTAATATTGATAATAGTAGTAGTAATAGTGACAGTATGAGAAGTAATATTAATAGTAGTAGCAGATATTCATATTCTTTAAATATATCTATGAAGATCTGTAAAAACAAAAATAGTTTTGATAAACCAACTGCAAAAGTTTATTTTTGTCCCTTAATTTAGTAAGAAAATATTATTTACATAAATTTCTTGACAACCTTAGTGATCCATATATTTATTTGGGTTATAAAGTGACATTTTTCTTTTGTGCTGGAATATTTTTAATAAGATTATTTGGATTAAATTTTTGAACCAGTTTCTAAAATAAGATCTGAATGTAGATCATGAACAGTTTTTGCTTCCATAGTTTCATTTGCTGACTGAAGAAGAATCGACAACTTTTTTTTAGTTCAATTATGACTCTACATAACTCAATCGCAATATTAAACTTAATACTTAAAGATTCAAAACTTTTGGGAAATTTTTATAAGTTCTCTGCATGGATATCAATGTCTCACTGAGGTATCAGATTATGATGCTGGCGCTTAGTTTCTGCAAAAGCTGTACCCTGGGAAGCCCTAATTGCTATCACGGATCCTTACTACCTCCTAAATCCCCCTTGACTTCATTATCATGTGTCCACTCCTTTGTCCTATTTTTTTTATTTTGATAAACATTCTTTTAATGATGAAACATCCTCTATCTCTCTCCATTAAGTCTATTCTTTTCTATTAAATTTCCTATATGTTCTCTCACTGTTTTTTTCAGTTGTCTCCCCTTTTTAAGTCTTATCAACCTAATTTTATGTTTATCCTGCCCAGTTCTCTATTTCAGCTTTTGCTCTTTTCCTTCAGTATTTCTCTATTTTCCCACACTTCTCTCTGAATCACTGATCCATTTTCTTTTTACTCTCTTTGCCCTTTATTTCTTACATTCCTTTCAATATATTTTCTACATTTTATTTGTATCTTTTTCTGTCTTTTTCAAGGTCCCTTTTCATATTCTTTCTTCTTGCATACTTTTTACTCTCTTCTCTCACTGTCTTTTATTTCTTCATCAATTATTTTTCCTCCTTCTCCTCTCACTCTCTTTACCGTTTTCTCTTACTCTCTTTTCCTCTCTTCCGTTTTCTCTTACTCTCTTTTCCTCTCTTCCGTTTTCTCTTACTCTCTTTTCCTCTCTTCCGTTTTCTCTTACTCTCTTTTCCTCTCTTTTCCGTCTTCTCTTACTCTCTTTTCCTCTCTTTTCCGTCATCTCTTACTCTCTTTTCCTCTCTTTTCCGTCTTCTCTTACTCTCTTTTCCTCTCTTTTCCGTCTTCTCTTACTCTCTTTTCCTCTCTTTTCCGTCTTCTCTTACTCTCTTTTCCTCTCTTTTCCGTCATCTCTTACTCTCTTTTCCTCTCTTTTCCGTTTTCTCTTACTCTCTTTTCCTCTCTTTTCCGTTTTCTCTTACTCTCTTTTCCGTTTTCTCTTACTCTCTTTTCCGTTTTCTCTTACTCTCTTTTCCGTTTTCTCTTACTCTCTTTTCCTCTCTTTTCCGTTTTCTCTTACTTTCTCTTCCTCTCTTTTTCCTCTTACTCATTCAGCCCTCCTCTTCCTTTATTTAATTTTCTCTGAACTGGTCCATTATTTCCCATTTCCCCAATTTTTGTTTATGTAGGAGTTATTAATGTTACTTTCTTTTGTATCTTGTATAAAATTTTTTAATTACGATAATTTACCATAGGTCACCCACACACATATAGTAATCCCTCTCCCTCCCTCTCTCCATATATATATATATATATATATATATATATATATATATATATAAATATATAAAATGTGTGTGCATGTTTTTAAATGCGTCCTAATTTAGCTTAAAATTAGACATACTCACATGCATACACTTTCATACACATATACATCCATGAATGCACACCCCTATATAGGATTGGGAGGTTTGCAACACATATTACACATACCATTTGGTATAAATATAGATGGGAATGCACTCATTAAATACACAATTATACATCCTAACAGGATATAAAATAAAGTTTGGGTTAGAAGAGGATTATCATTCACCCGCACACAACTCCATATACTGAGATGAATCTATCAGAAATTGTTATTTTTTTACACTGTATTCAATAGATGAAATATTAACAGTTGTGAGTTATATGCCTGAATCTTTGAGTTGCATTCTTTTTGTGAAAATCATAAAAGGTCTTGTGTTCAGCTGAAACATTTGCACCATATATGCATTATATTGGAAGCATATTTACTTGTAAGAGGATTGAATTTCTTACAATATGGACTTTGTTTCTTTGACTATTCAGTCTTACAGCTATGTAAGTTGACTTTCATTTTTTTCCCCTCCTACTAAGATATATTCAATACATTCACCTTTTTTCATTGTATAGTCCTTATTCTAAGAATACATACTGTTTCTTTTACTACAAGGGAGTGATACAAAAGTAAATGCATCCTATTTGTTTCCACAGAGATAGTTACCGGAGACACAATAAAACTGTTGGCTAAAACAATATTTGAACTATTAAACACAATTTTTCTATATTGTCCCCACCATTGCTTATGTTAGAAATGTCCCTCAAGTTATGGGTTAAATAGTAGGAATTTTATCTGGAAAAATAATTATCTTCAAAGAAATTTTAAAAAAATTGTTAATGCAATATTCACTTGCAAAAAAAAGAAAATTAAATAGAAAATTCAGCTTTAAATAATCCACAAAGAGTTGATAAGCCATAAAAACAAATCATCAGAAATGATCAAAAGTCTATATATCATGCCAATAAAAAACTATCAAAAGAGGGGACTTTTTTTTTTTTAGATGCATCACTATCGCTACTGCTTAACTGTGCTCTTATTCACTTTTTGGTTTCCAGTAAGTATTGGTGAATTTCAATGGGTACAGGTTAATGCTATGTGTGGGGTGGGATGAAACATATGGCAGATTGGGAAATTATCTCCTGCAATTTTCTAATATTATCATCACTGTAAGTATTGTCTAGATTCTTGATCTCATAATTTTCATTGCTTTCAGCTTGACTGAAAAAGTGGTTTCCCTGATGGGGAATAAAGAGATTCAGGTTTGATTCCTATCAGAGGCACAATTTTTCTTTAGTGGAACTTCTCAATTTTAATTTCATTGTTTAATAAAATTAAAAAAATAAAATAGGCATAGCAACACAGACATGTGTTTTGTGATGTCAACGAACACTCATTGCTACTTTTGTAATGCCAACAAATACTCATTTTCATTTTCACCTTGCTCATTGTAGTAGAGACTTTGTAATTGCAGATACAACTATAGTACGCTGTCGAAAAACATTGGTGTCGGATGCATTCGAATATCACTCGCACTGATACTACTCGCTCAAACAATAATCCGTATAGTGATCCAGATAGAGAAATAGTATAGTGACTAGAGTAGAGAATAGCTGTCCATATAGTAATAGAGGAGAAATAGCAATCGTTAGTCATTAGCTACTTCCTACATATATATGTTTCCTCTATGGTAACATGGTCTACTTAATTCAATAATGGGATCACCTGTGTTTGCTCACTGGTGATCTATGTTCAAACTCAAGTGTTGGCAGTGACACTTTATTTCTATATAAAAAAAATAACATTTATAGTAATAAGAAAAACCTTTCAAAAATGATTTTAAATAAACGTTTCCTCTGTATTTGTCTTTTGGGCACTTCTGCACTCAATATTGAACTCCTGATCAGTTCTCAAACAATTACTCACTCTGGTCAGTACCTAGAGGAATGACCACTTGGGAATATCAGGTGCTGTGAGCTTGAATATGCAGTTAGTGCAATGGATAATAGATCGGAATAGGAAATCGGTTAGCCGTGTTCCAAATTCAGCCTGGTTCGTTATAGGGGGTTGCTTTTTAAGGTGAGCAATTCAAGAATGAGTTATTAACAGTGAATTTTTTTCTAGTGAGTCTGTTTGAGTATGACTCGGCAAGTTAATACATACAGAGCATATACAGTATGTGTACATATATATGTACACAGGTAATTACTATGTGTGTATATATATATATATATATATATATATATATATATATATATATGCACATGCACACACTTGTGTAATGTGCGACCCACAAATTTTCACTTATAAGAAATGATTTTATCTTGTGTATCATGTGAGTTCCCTTCTTTTGAGAGACCAAATTATATCTTTTCCTCTATCTTTTTATCCCATCTTCTAGTTAAACAAGTTAAAAATGATTTTATCTTGTGTATCATGTGAGTTCCCTTCTTTTGAGAGACCAAATTATATCTTTTCCTCTATCTTTTTATCCCATCTTCTAGTTAAACAAGTTAAAAATGATTTTATCTTGTGTATCATGTGAGTTCCCTTCTTTTGAGAGACCAAATTATATCTTTTCCTCTATCTTTTTATCCCATCTTCTAGTTAAACAAGTTAAAAATGATTTTATCTTGTGTATCATGTGAGTTCCCTTCTTTTGAGAGACCAAATTATATCTTTTCCTCTCTTTTTATCCCATCTTCTAGTTAAACAAGTTAAAAATGATTTTATCTTGTGTATCATGTGAGTTCCCTTCTTTTGAGAGACCAAATTATATCTTTTCCTCTATCTTTTTATCCCATCTTCTAGTTAAACAAGTTAAAAATGATTTTATCATGTGTATCATGTGAGTTCCCTTCTTTTGAGAGACCAAATTATATCTTTTCCTCTATCTTTTTATCCCATCTTCTAGTTAAACAAGTTAAAAATGATTTTATCATGTGTATCATGTGAGTTCCCTTCTTTTGAGAGACCAAATTATATCTTTTCCTCTATCTTTTTATCCCATCTTCTAGTTAAACAAGTTAAAAATGATTTTATCATGTGTATCATGTGAGTTCCCTTCTTTTGAGAGACCAAATTACAGTAGACTAACATCTTTTCTTCTCTTTTTTTATTCCATTTTCTTGTTAAATACATTAAAAAAGTAAAAGAGAATGATAAAAGTATCATTAGTAATGCTATACTCCTTGGGTAAACATGTACAGCCATAAACAAATGAACAAGAAACAACTAAACATCTTATAAACATAACCAATGGAAAAGATTCATATTCACTATGTTTGTATTTTATGATATGATACTAATATGTGAATATTATATGCATTATTATTGGATACAGTTAAGTAAAATATAAGTTTTAGCAAAGTCATGTTTATTTTAAATACAGCAGTACTTTTACTACAGTAAATGGATATATAGTTTGGTCAATGGCATAGCCTTATGTTTTGTTTTTTTGGTAATATTTTTTAAACTTTTTTTCAAAAAATGAGGATTTATTTTTCTTTTGAAACCAAATTAATCATTCACTCACCAGTAATTTACAGTTGTCTGAGACACATCATTATGCATTGAAACATGACTGCAATTGTGTAGCGATTCTTAAATAGTTTTCATGTAAAATCCGAAGGTAAATAATAATTAAATCTTACGAATATTGGGAGTGTACTCTATTCGTTCTCATCATAGTATCTGGAGATATATTAACAATTTCTTAGTAATTTCTTCTTTGGTTTTTCAACTGTCCCTTTGTTCTCTTATTTTTCTCTTTCTTAGATGCCATGTACTTTGGAAGCTTGTTTCAGCCAAGTTGATGGCTTTTTAGGCTCTACATGAATAGGACTTCAGGTAGACAGCTATATGCCATGCATGATACACGCTTAGACGATCATGTATCTTTCAATATATGAATGGCGAGGCAGATTTTTCCTGCAGTAAGTTGCCATTTATTTCTGCAGTAGACCAATTGCCATCCAAGGCTATAGAACCTGATCTGTCCTGCTATTTACCCATAGCTGGGGGAGAAAAAGAGGCTTCATACCTTTGCCAAGGGTATTAGCACATAAATGAATGTAATGGATTTGACCGGGATTCGAACTTGGCTCTCCAATTCCTCAATCAGTTCACTTTTTGAATAATAAGAATTATACGTCACAGGGAGGGGGCATCAAGATTTTAAAGCTGCTTAGTGGTGTCATGGTCAAAAAAAAGATTGCTGACCTCAGATCTAAGGTAAAATAGCCTGACGGTGTCCATATATATGGAGGCTTTTTCCTTGTCTCCTCTTCAGCTGTTAGTATCTGGCCGTTCATATTTTGGAAGACAATGTGTTAACTCATTCAGTTATTTCCCCTCCTTAAACTTAATGGATGATTCCAAGCAGCAGCAGCAGGCTTGTCTCCCTTCCTTCCAACTTGCATTTGACCAATGAACAAAATATAAGCTGGTTAAAATTTCTCTCTTACTTTAACTTTTGATGTTTGGAAAACCTTTGCCACTTTAACTTCTGATATCTGGAGTGTCTATACCATTTCAACTTTTGCGGACTGTACTTTATTTCTACTGGGCTTTACATTGTTGACAAAGTGTTTTCAATAAAATACCCTATTTAAGAGCATATATAACCTTAACATTCCACCTCCCCTCTCTCTCTCTCTCCAAAAAAATATCTTCTGGGTTTTATAAACAAAGATAAGATATCTGGTCAGCTAATGTCTACTCAGATGTTGTAGACGACCAGTAGCTGTACTTGCCTTCATAATAGTGTAATATCAAATATGGAGGAGGGTATTCTATATGCCATCACCAGTGTCATTCACTGTTTATTCATCTAAAAAACAAAAAAAAAACATTGCTTATAGCATTGGTTATCTTTCCAAATAGATAAGTTTGTTTATGACAAAATACTCAACCTTTTAGTATTTTTATTAGATGTTATCTTGCAAAATCAGTAATAACTTTAACCTTCTGACAGGGCATTAATGCGTGCGTGTGCACACACACATATATATATATGTGTGTGTTCTTATATATGTGTGTGTGTGTGTGTGTTCTTATATATGTGTGTGTGTGTGTGTATTCTTATATATGTGTGTGTGTGTGTGTATTCTTATATATGTGTGTGTGTATTCTTATATATGTGTGTGTATTCTTATATATGTGTGTGCGTGTGTATTCTTGTGTGTGTGTGTATATTCTTGTGTGTGTGTATATTCTTGTGTGTGTGTGTATTCTTGTGTGTGTGTGTATTCTTGTGTGTGTGTGTATTCTTGTGTGTGTGTGTATTCTTGTGTGTGTGTGTATTCTTGTGTGTGTGTGTATTCTTGTGTGTGTGTGTGTATTATTTTGTGTGTGTGTTCTTGTGTGTGTGTGTGTATTCTTGTGTGTGTGTGTGTTTCTTGTGTGTGTGTGTATTCTTGTGTGTGTGTGTATTCTTGTGTGTGTGTATTCTTATATATGTGTATGTGTGTATTCTTATATGTGTGTGTGTGTATTCTTGTGTGTGTGTGTATTCTTATATGTGTGTGTGTATTCTTATATATATATATGTGTGTGTGTGTATTCTTATATATATATATGTGTGTGTGTGTATTCTTATATATATATATGTGTGTGTGTGTATTCTTATATATGTATGTGTGTGTGTATTCTTATATGTGTGTGTGTGTGTATTCTTATATATGTGTGTGTGTGTATTCTTATATATATGTGTGTGTGTATTCTTATATATATGTGTGTGTGTATTCTTATATATATGTGTGTGTGTGTATTCTTATATATATGTGTGTGTGTGTATTCTTATATATATGTGTGTGTGTATTATATATATATATGTGTGGGTGTGTGTTCTTATATATGCGTGTGTATTCTTATATATGTGTGTGTGTATTCTTATATATGTGTGTGTCTATGTATTCTTATATATGTGTGTATTATGTATATGTGTGTGTATTCATGTGTGTTCATATATATATGTGTGTGTGTATTATATATGTGTGTGTGTGTTCATTCATATATATATATATATATATATATATATGTGTGTGGTGTGTGGACACACACATATTCTGATCATCGTATTTATGTATGCATGTGTACATATATACTTTCTATAGTCATGTATAAATATTTGTGTAGATATGTGTGTTCTTTATGCACGTGTGTATTTGTTTGTTTATATATATGTGTGCACATTTCTTTATGTCTAAACAGCACTGACATTGATGAGTCATTTCAGAAATTTGAGGGTAAAAAAGCAAAACGTTGCCAATTCTATAAAGTTTTTGACTTGTGTGTGCGTATTTTTTTTATGCAATCAGGCTTTAAATTATTCACTTCTCAGTACAATAAAATGGCTCGGGACTCGAGGTTTGCTTGAAAATCTGATTTATAAGTTTGCCATAAGAAGTGCTTGACAACACAGGAATACTTGGACCTTGGTAAAGATGCATAATGCAAAAAAGACTGCTTAATACTACTGATGCACAAGAACATATGTGCATATAAACAAAATAAAAATAAGTGTATAAACATTATACAATAATAATTATCTATCTATCTATCTATATATATATATATATATATATATATATATATATATATATATATTAATTATTTTGTGTGTGTGTGTGTGTGTGTGTAACAATTGAGGGAGAGTGTGAAAAATTTTGCCATGAGACGCACAGAAGTCAAGACCCCATTCATGTCCATCCACAAAGCTGTCACGCTGATAGACTACAAAGAGACTGTCCCAAACAATTGTGACAATGTTCACAGTAAGAACTAAATTCTATTTTTATTTTTATTTTATGTTTTTGTAAAAATCCTCTTCTTTCCCGGACTCTGAAATTACAAATTGAATCTACAGACTGTCAAATATTACTCATGTTCCAAAGTTTATACAAAAAAATATTGTGCTTTGGGAACTTTTGTAATGAAAAAATTTTGGTTGTAAATATGTAACATTTATAAGGATAATATATGGATACTTTTCTTTAGGTGTTTATAAATTGTACACTGTTTAGCTATTAACATTAACAACAAACTATTTTAATATCTGTCTATATTTCTGAGATGAGGTATTATTTACATTATTTGGACTATTGTTGCTATATTTATTACAACAGCCAAAACATAATAAATATGGTGACAAAGATGAGGACAATAGTCCAAATAATGTAAACTATTTTAAATTACAAAATTGTACTTGGATTAAACAAAAACTACTTACAATATAATACATATTACTTACAATATAATACATATTACTTACAATATAATACATATTACTTACAATATAATACATATTACTTACAATATAATATATATTACTTCCAATATAATACATATTACTTATAATATATAAAATTAAAAATGGAGGAAGTAAAAAGACACTGGTATATAGGAAGTGAGTATGAAAAGCTGACAGATGTATTTCAATAAGAATGATTGGACTCCTGGATATGTCAGTTGATATGATCTTTTTAGCTCTGTCAATGTGCATATTATGACACCTTCAAGGAGGTGGCCTGACTCATCTGATCTGGTCAGGATTGCTGTTTGAGTCGAAATTGGTGATGAGGGCAGTGAATCACTGAAGACCACCCTTGATGCATCTAAAATGTATTATGCAACTAATACATTCCTTCTTGCCATCAATTTTGATGGCATGGGTGCACTAGTAGTAATAATAATAATAATATGTGTAGACATCTGTGTTGAAAGCAGTAGGAATAGATCATACCACTGAGAGAATTGTTACATCAACAAAAATGCTCAATGAAGAACAGAGTAAGTTGCTAACTACTATAGTTTCACTAATTTGGCTCATCAGGCAGTAGGCGCTTGAAGACAATTTCAGTAGAGATAGATATGAGTGACCATACATATTATATAAGTATGCTAAGGCAGCTAATCAATCCCTGTTGCAGATGCTTGCTCAGGCCTATATGTTTTTGTTCAACACTCACATACCCTACCTGTGGTTTATACTACAACTAAACTGAGCAGACATTTGTTCTAGTTTCTGGAAGAGAACAGATCATCTGGCATCATCAGCAGTTTCAACAAGGCCACTTACAATAAATTTGTCTTTGAAATTCACCCCTGAGGATGATCTTGGAGGAGATCAAAAGAACTTTAGTTAACAAAAACTACAGTGCCTTCTTTGATGAATTTCAACTAAACATCAAGAAACTTATTAGAAAACTAGAAAGGATTATTATAAAAATAAATAGACATAATGTTATGTTAATATGTCTATATTATTCAATATATATATATATATATATATATATATATAAAAGCTTAAAAACTGCCCTATCAGGCAGCATTTAAACTAGCTCCTGCAGAGAGCTCTTGATTGGGTCTTCATCACAATAGATAGGGAGGAGTAGATGCTATAGGCATCACTGAACTAGAAGAACTAAAAATTGATCACTGCATTTAAGTACTGCATTAATATCTAAGCTTACCTTTTAAAAGTTCAACAATAATTCTTCTGCTGCCACTTAATTTAAAGACAGTTTGATGTATGTAGGTCCTTACTTTCTATACAGACAATTATTTTTATTTAATGGATGACTTTCACTGGATTATTCCCAAATTTATTTCCAAGTTATAAAAATTGTTATTGTATAAAAAAATTTGTCACCAAAAATCATGTAAAAAAAAAAAAAAAAAATAATCATCAAAAACAATTGCAGTAATGAAAACTTGTGAATCCAAAATTTCAGGATTGCAGGTTCGGGTCTGGCTTAGAATGTTTTTAATTTGCTCACAAATTCAGCCTGATTCCAGAATGGTATAATATGTTGAGTTATAGCATCTAGGAGTAAAGTTGAAAAAGTGTGACACACTGACATTCACATTTATTATATAGATTTATTCGTTGTTTTTTATTCTCAATAGAAGTAGATAGGTTCACCTATCATCTGGTTCACACTCCTCTCCAGGCTTTTGAACAGGAGTAGAGATTTATCCTGTTTAGAGTATTTTCATTCTATTTCACCCTATTAGACCCTTGCAACTTAGTGACATTATTGCATTGCTTGGGATTAACTGATTAAAAAAAAATCAAGTACCTGAAGTTTGCTGTGTGCATGAAACCCAGAGTTGTATCAAATTGGAAAAATATTTATACAAATATTAGCTCTGTTATTTTACATAAAGCACTTTTATTAACACACACATATATATATATATATATATATATATATATATATATATACACACACACACACACACATACACACACACACACTACTTTAATGGGACATCAGTTGACAGGGAAGAGCTGGTTTGTATGACCAATTGCAGAAGACCATAAGCAAATATATGTAATATTTTGTCCTGTCTAAAAGGAATGACTACTAATAAAAATCAAGAATTAGTCCTCCTGTGTTCCAATTAAGTGAGATCCGCCATATACACACACACACATATATATATATATATATATATATATATATATATATATATTTAATGAAAAACAGACCACTTTAAGGTACCATTACAATGATTTATTTCACCAAAATCCTTTTTAAAGGATTTCGGATCATCAGGTAACACTTCCAACAATGAAATGAGAGGAAAAATGGGATTAGAAATTGATGGGTAGTGTTTTGGTTTACCAAGTTCTTCATAACTTATATATATATATATATTTCATCTCCGTTTAGAATATTGCTGCCACGTATAGTTAGGTGCTCCTGCTATATATTTAAAAATCCTTTATGAAATGCAAATATCATCAGCAATGCCATTGGTCCTGACCTGGCATCTCAGCTTCCATCACTTTCCCACTGCTGTAATGTAGTTTCTCTTTTCTATAAATACTTTCATGGTAATAATTCTGACGAATTTTCCTCTGTGGTACCTAGACATTATGAATTTAAGTGCAGTACTAGATTAGCAGCAAAGTCTACTCATTTTATAGTTGAAATGGCTTATATGTAAGCACAAGTTCTATGCTAAGTTTATTTTCTCGCACTTCTCACTTGTGGAACTCTCTCCTAGTTTCTTGATTTCCAGTCAACTTTGACCTTCAAACATTTAAATGCAATGTCAGTCATTATCTTCTGTTTTGTTAATTTCTGTTTTTTTTATTATTATTCTTTCTCCTTAATAATGTTTTTTTTTATGTTTTTACTCAGAAATCAACCCCCCCTCCCCGACGCATCTTAGTGGCGTTGTTGCCTTGCTTGGGATGAATTTAATATAAACACTGTGTTTAGGATTTTTTATTATTGAGCGTTATTAATTGGCTTATACTTTATCACATGCAAACTTTTTGGAGAAAAATCTAATCATTATGAATTGAGTCTAATGAAAAACTTTCAAACACTTTACTTACTAGCTGTCTCGTGCACTCTCTCTCAGCACTGTTATTTATCTATGGCTGCTTCTATAGTGGCACTTAAACTTGCTTCACCAAAATGTTGCCAGAAGACATGGCCCCGAGTAAGTAAAATATTTTCTAACAGAATCAGTCTTAATTTAAGAAGCCTTATTCTAATCTCGGATAATTTTGTTATTGTTTTTGGAATGAGAGAAAGATGGCATTTTAAATTTTATCTCCAAGAAGGCCTTATAAAATGGTAACTTTTTAGTAAAATCTGTACACACACGAGCGTATTTACTTTTTGTTGTCTTATCTATACATTGTATGTAAAATCATTATGGTTAATATTTCGTATTTAGTGCATCAACACATTGACTGCCAGAGGTCAATTACGAAATTTATAATTTTTAACTTAACTTTTTCACCCAACTTCGGCAATAAAATTTTTTAGTTAATTTATAGCTTCAACTAAGTCTTAACATTGTTTTCTCATTAAAAGTTTCACTTCGAATAAACTCGTTGTCGTTGCTCACATAAAAAAATGTCTCAGAAAATGCCATCACGAGATAACTCGTAGTCGGCGTCAAAAGAAAATGTCACTTCGTGATTGGTAGTCAATGTGTTGTTTTGTCATAAATTATAATTTTGTTTCCTGTTTTTATTTTACATGTGTTATACTACTGAATAAATTGTATATTATTCACATATTTTAAAGTCAAAGACAAGTAAAGTGAGTAAGACTTTTTTTTTTTTTATTGTGTCTGTGAAGTTAGTTTTTCTTTTTATCTTTCAAGATAAAAAAAAAACTAACTTTATTTTCTGCTTCTACTCATCACCTTGTCAAAGATGAGTTGGAAAAAAAATTGGTTCTTTGCAAAAAAAAAAATTATCCAATGGAAACTTTAGACACATAAAAAATCTAGTTGCTAATAAATAAATGAAAGGCTTAGTTTGTAAATTCGTATCTTGCTTACATTCATAAAATGTTGTTAACAGTTAACTTATGTCTCAGCGATTTTTTTTTTTTTAATTTTCGTTTCGGTTTTTTACTTATTTTCTTTTTCTAGCATCATTCTGATACTAATCTTTTTCTCTGTCCATATTTTCTCTCCCTCTCTCTCTTTACTTTCTTTATTTATTTATCTGTTTTTACCTTTTCCTCTCATATTTACATTTTTATCATTCCTTTTCTTTTCCGTCTCTTTTTCTCCACCACTTTCCCTTTCTTCTCCATTCCTTCCTTTTTTCTTTACCTTCTTTCTTTCTATTCCCACAATTATTTCAATCCCCACCCACTTTGTCTTGTTTTCCTTTTTTTTTCCAAGTTATTTTCCATTTGGTAAGCCTTGCAGTACGGACCTTTGCGAATTGGTCTATTTTTAAATTTAACTTTTTCAAATGAATTCTATCCCAAAACATAACACACTTGGCACAGACTCGCTTATTCAAAATTTTTATGTTTTTCTTTTTCTTTCTTCAATTAAAATAAATAAGCCTAATTAATAATAAAGCACGTTAATTCCTTTCCCCCAGTAGTACTCTGTTGGGTCGTGATACTTAGAAATCCGACCGACTTTTTCATTCAAAACGGAAATAATCAATGTGTGTGTGTTTATGTTACATTAGAAAATGTATTCGTTTGATAATTTGGCTAACTTTTTAAATTCAGTTTTCCATTTTTCTTTTCTTTTTTTTTTTTAGCTGTGTTTATATTTGTTCTTATGTGGAGTGGAGAATCGAACTCCCCTGAGAAAATCTAGGATGCGTTGTTTATTTTTTAAGTAGTTTATTCAGGTTACGCAAGTAACACTTGAGATAGTTAGAAATTACTGTAGTGTGGCCCTCGCAATTATCCATGACACCACGAAAATATGCAAAGAATCACAACCTCAATTTTTCCGACTAATGAAAAATAGCCAAAAATACTAATTTACTAAGTGTAGCTTATGTGGCACAAGGTCGCGTGTATGTGGACACCTAGGGAAAATCGAACTCGGTCCTTCAGTCGTAATTAATCCCGCAAGGCAAGCCTTCTAACTATCACGTGGAAGCCCGCCAAGGCTTTGCACCAGCTCCTCATAGTAATGAGAAACAAACAAAAAGATTAACAAACTGAAATAATAAATTATTTAAAAAAAAAAAAAAATTTATTCACAGTCGAACTGTTTACATCTTTGCTACATTTTTCATGTGAAATCGGGGAGCTGAGTTCGAATTCAAGTTGATTCACTTAACGTGGAAATATCCTTGAGAAAGGTATGACTCCATCTCTTACCTTTTGAGTTATGGGTTATAGCAGGACGAACTGGATTCTATAGCCTTGGTTGGCAACCAGTCTACCGCAGAAAGAAATGACAACCTGCTGCAGTAAAATCTTCTGTCTAGTCAGTCATGGATCGAAAGAGACATAATAGCCGAAGCTTCAGGAAATTAATTTCGAACTCTACCCTTTTTTTTATTTAATCTACAGGAATAGAGATTGTTTTCGTTCTGTTGTCCTGGAATTTTTCTTAATTAATTCACCACAAGGCGATAATGTCATTAAGACGCAAGGAGCCACTGGGAGTAAAAGTTAAAACGAAAACGCTTTAGAAGGAACCGGAAACCCAAATCCTAAACAAAACAGGAAACAAGTGATAAACCTCTACTCCTGTTCAAAAGACAGACGAGGAGTGTAAACCGGGCGATTGACAAACCTATCCTAATTCTGGTCAGTTATTGGGAGTTCCGTTTCCACTAAGTCTGTACTATCCAGTCCAGAGATTGAACTCACAACTAGTATTCCACCAAATGCACGAACCAGCGCTTTAATCTACTTAGTGTGACAGTACTCCCAAGGATTAAAGTGTTGTTCATGAACTTGGTGGCATCGTCTTCTCTGTAGGTTACCCGGATCAACAGACACCTGAAGAAGGCCGAAACATTGTGATAATAATAGTAACAAAGATATGCACACTACTGTAACTTTAAATACATTTTTAAAAATCAATTGCCTTGCGGCTACATCACATTGAATGACCGGTTTCCGTACTATCACTGAAGTTAAGGACCGTCGAATCTAGTCAGTACTTAGATGGGTGACCTCTTAGGAACACCTGGTCAGTGCCTGGATGGGTGACTGCTTGGAAATACCAAATTTGGATGTGTGGTTGGTGTGGATAATGGCTCGAAAGCGTTAATCGTAGAGTCGAGTTGTAATTCCAGATTTTGTTCGTTATATTCTCTTACAGGCAAATACCTTTTGGAAAGGTATGAATCTACCTCTTTCTTTTCCCTCAGCTATGGGCTAATTAAGAGGTATCACTAAACTATTATTTAAAAAACAATTCTAAAATTATTTTCTGGTTTTAAAGCCCTAGAAAACGAATCGACCAATAAAAGAAAGCCTACGCTACCATTTAGAAATGGGCAACACCTTTTTCTTATATTGTTGATGCCACATAAATACTTCATTATGAGGATAATAGTTGAATACACCTCCAATATGCTGTTGCTTGAACTTTTTTTTCTATATACAATCCACCGACTTTTTGTGCAGGTGATTGATAAAAAAAATATCAACGATGTGTCCACTGTTCAATTCGGTGTAGTTGACGGTCTACCAGCTGGGAATCATCTTTACTTTTTAATTAATGAAATCCAGTCCCAGGAGCCCGTCTACCTTGGGTAATACCACTTTTTTCGGGAGGCGGGGATAGTTAACCTCTGGTACTGGTGGTGTCCTCAAAAAGGGTAGTGCCGAGGGAGCTGGGCTGTATTTGGCGTCTGGTGCCATACACGTGGAACGGGACTCCCACTCGGCCTTGTATCGCATTCTGTTTGCGTTGGTGTTCAGACAAATACCTGATTCGGTCGATCGACTTAATTCGCATATTTTCATGAAGTCATACAGACGCAGTTACATGGACCACGGGTACTTGTTCCCAGTGTTTCACTAGTGAATTATTTATTAGCACTAATTAATGAGGATGCACTGTGGATTAATGGATAGTGGCTCGGAGTGAGGAATCTGAGAGCCGAGTTCGAATTCCAGTCGAATCCATTATATTCATTTACGTGCTAATAAATACTCTTGGGAAAGGTATGAATCATATTCTTCTCCCCGCAGCTATAGGCAAATAAATAGCAGGAGAGACAGGGTTTTATAGTTTTGGATGGCATCTGGTCTACCGTAGAAAGAAATGGCAACCTACTGTGGGGAAAAAAATCTGCCTCGTCAGTCATGATCGCCTAAAGAGTGTATCACGCATGGCACATAACTAACAGAATTAAATTTAATAGTAATACCTAAATTGCCAGGTGACAAGCATTTCGTACCTGTCTACTTTTCTCGTTTCCTTTTCTATTGATCCATTTGAACATCGTATAGAAAAAATGGAATTGTTAGGTTAGAATAATTTCAACAAAGATTCGGTTAAATTGAAGCGTTTTTTTTTTATTATATAAATTTATTTTTGTAGAAAAAATAATTTTTTTAAATTATTATTAATTTAAATGAATGAATATTATAGCTTGAATTTATTTGGGAAATTAACTTTTTTAACTTTTTTTTGGTAGGGGGTTTCATTAACAAACACTGACATTTTTTTTTTTTTGTAATAAGCTTGATTCTAACTAAACGTTATATACGCTTTTTTATCCTAGCACAGTAATCTTTTCATTTTTGCAACTAGGAAGTCAGTTCCTGGAGTTACGAGAGCTTTCATTTCCCATAACCCTTAAAGGGCCTTAACTCACTCAATATTTTTAAAGGTGTCTGAACTTTTAAATTAAAACGCTATATTTATAATTTGTATAAAGGTGGGCACAAAATCATGGTCTGATTTAGCGACCTGTTTGCATTGTAAATTGTATATTCAACGTCTTAGACATATCAAGGACCATTACAAGCTGAACCTCCACTTTTAAAGTAGCCTCGCTCACTTCCACTGTCTTGAAAATGAAAATTAATTTCGTCCCAGTGAAATACAGGACATTTTCATCAAAAAAAAAAAAAAAAATGTAATTGTTATTGAAAAAATAGCCGAGATATTTTTTTTTTTTTTAGCTTAATCGAATCTTTTACTTTTTTTAGTTTTTATTTTAATCTTCAATAAAAGTACTTTTTTCTGTATTTTTTTAGACTACAACGAAGAACTAAATTCACTATGTAATTCTCGTTGTTTTTTATGTCTTAAAAAAAACGCGATTTTCATCAAAAGCTGCTCAAATAACATTCAGAAAAAAATTAAATTGTCGGAGGAAAAATCATAGTTTAGTTACCCTTCATTTAGTTTTTAACTGAATCTTTGTTTTACCTGAACAGAAAGTCGATTTTCCATGTGCCATATCCGTTTGGGACGTGAGCGATCATGGTTCTGTCTTTTGTAGCACTTAGTAATTTTTTTTTTTTTTTTGCTATATCACCTAATCTCTGTTAGTGTTCTGCCAACACAATAAGCTTAGGTAGATTATTCGCGGCTTTCCTGTGTCCCTCTTGCCTTCATTCATTGTCTCGTCAGTGTCAAACAAAAAAAGATGAGGCCCTTTTTAATTCATCCCCCCCAAAAAAAAATGTATTGTAACAAGTTACTTCTCACAAATATTAATTCACCCCAAGAAATTATAAATTTTAAAGTTTGTTAAATTTTTAGCACTCTTTTGAAATTATATATCAAAAATTAATTTGTTTAGTTTGCTTGCTTCTTTAACTGCAACGCTCAGGATGAAAAAATACCAAAAAAAATCAGGGAGTTATTCACATTTCAAAAGTGCAGATATTATTCGAGGTACCTACAAGGAATTTTTTACAATTTTTTTTTTCTTTTAAATGTTTTTGGCCTGTTTATCGAGGTGAGCGCGAATGTGGACCCCACACTTAGAAATACCGCACACGAATCGCCCACATTTGGAGCGATCATAAAGGTCAACCTAACCGGGGTGCAATAGAAGGGTCTCGCTCTGGGAGAATTTGGTGTGAATTTTAGTAAATAAATTCATTTTTATTTTAGGGTGAATTAACAGAAAATATCCGATGATGAAATTTAGAAGTATGCCGTAGTCGTCTTCGAAGTAATATAGTTTTTAGAAGAAAATAGTTTTTAATTAGGAAGATAATTTTTAATTCAGCAAAACAGAAACTCTAGACTTGTTTTTGACACAAAAGAAACACCATATTTACGCCCCAGTAGTTTACCAAATAAGCAAGGGAATCCTGTCAAATTTTGAAATCCAAACCCGAACATAAATTCAAAGGGAATCCCTCCACCAATAAGAAGAGTTGCCTTAAAAGTGGTTTTAAGTTTTTCGTTGAAAATCTTTGCTAAATTTTTCCCCCAGTATCATTTACTTAAACAATTTCTTCTCTGCTTAAATAGAAAGACCGATTGCATATTCACTGAATTGCAGGAAAGCATATGATGCAACTCTACAGACGTGTGTGTATGTGAGAGTTTTTTTTCTCTGAAGGTGCTGTGGCATCAGTTTGAGTTTGGGAGGAGCTGACTGACTGACTAACGGGCTGGCTGGTTTAGTTCGTTGATGAGTGCTTATGCGCAAACTACAAGCTCAAACACAAGTGAACTATCAACCGCCTCCCCACTTCAGGTGGTAGTAAAAAATGATGGCAATGGTGAGAGTAGCAGTCGACAAGAACTAGCTTTTATTTTATTTTATTTTTTTTTTATAATTATTATTACCATGATCAGATTTTGTATTTGCAACTGTTGCTTCTTACTTTCCTGTCAGTCTTAGAAAGGGAACAGGACTGGACGGGTTGGGTTTTTCAGGTAGACGTAAATTTGGAATGTCGGTTTCCTGATATTGTTGGAAAAATGGAATTTTTTAATCTTGCTTTACCTCTTGAATTCTTCCAAACATCTGTTGGATTTCATTTTGAGGGGTCAAAAGTAGGAAAGCGGTCTGGTCAGGTATTTAAAAATTTTTTTTTTTTTCCTCTTCATTTTTTGTTAGAAAGTTTTTGTTGTTTTAAAATATTACTTAGTTATTGTAGTATAATTTTCCCAAAACATTTTCTATAATGTAGAAAAAAAAAAAAACTGCTGCTTTGAAAATATTTGTAATTTTTTTTTTTTTTTTTTTACTATATCCATCTTAATTTCTGTTCCTCAATTTTTCTGTCTGTTTCTCTCTATCTTTGTTACTCTTCTCCTTTTTCTCTGCCTCCCGCTTTTTCTTTTTCTCTACTTTCCTCTCCTTCTCTTTCTCTACTTTCCTCTCCTTCTCTTTCTCTACTTTCCTCTCCTTCTCTTTCTCTACTTTCCTCTCCTTCTCTTTCTCTTTTCCTCTCCTTCTCTTTCTCTACTTTCCTCCTTCTCTTTCTCTACTTTCCTCTCCTTCTCTTTCTCTACTTTCCTCTCCTTCTCTTTCTCTACTTTCCTCTCCTTCTCTTTCTCTACTTTCCTCTCCTTCTCTTTCTCTACTTTCCTCTCCTTCTCTTTCTCTACTTTCCTCTCCTTCTCTTTCTCTACTTTCCTCTCCTTCTCTTTCTCCACTTTTCTCTCCTTCTCTTTTTCATTTCTTTACTACCTTCTCCTTCTTTTTTTCCCCCCACATGCTCTCTCTCTCTCCTTCTTTTTTCCCCCACATGCTCTCTCTCTCCTTTTTTCCCCCCACATGCTCTCTCTCTCCTTTTTTCCCCACATGCCTCTCTCTCCTTCTTTTTTCCCCCACATGCTCTCTCTCCCTTCTTTTTTTTTCCCACATGCTCTCTCTCTCCTTCTTTTTTCCCCATGCTCTCTCTCTCCTTCTTTTTTTCCCCACATGCTCTCTCTCCTTCTTTTTTCCCCACATGCTCTCTCTCTCTCCTTTTTTTCCCCACATGCTCTCTCTCTCCTTCTTTTTTTTCCCCATGCTCTCTCTCTCCTTTTTTCCCCATGCTCTCTCTCTCCTCTTTTTCCCCCATGCTCTCTCTCCTCCTTTTTTTTCCCCCCCCACATGCTCTCTCTCCTCCTTTTTCCCCCCATGCTCTTTCTTTTTCCCCATGCTCTTTCTTTTCCCCCCACATGCTCTTTCTTTTCCCCCCATGCTCTTTCTTTTTCCCCCCCACATGCTCTTTCTTTTTCCCCCATGCTGCTTTCTTTTTTTCCCCCACATGCTCTCTTTCTTTT